GCATGCTGGAACACTGCGGCGGCCCCCGGGGCGCGCTGGTCGTCGCCGCCGCCGCCCACCACGACTCCATCTCCATTGTTGATGGTCACACCGCCCACCACGACTCCATCTCCATTGATGGTCACACGCAGCTGGAGCTGGATGTGAATCGTCGTCGACGGCCCAGATGCTGCCATCGCGGCCATCGCGGCGAGCGTCGACGCCGCGTCGACGCCTGAGTCCGAGGCGGGGGGGGGGGTCGCCTGCTCAGGCTGAGGAGGAGTACAGCCGAAACACTGGACCTTCGCACTGCAGACGGCTGAGGCTGAGGCAGCGACGCCGACGGACGGCGACGACGACGACGGGTCACGGGCCATGGGCCACCGGCCGCGGGGGAGACCGTCGGACTGTCGGGGGGCGCCGCGCGATGACTCATCCGCGAGGGCCCTCCGTCGGGAGGCCCCTCGACCACTCGGCCCTCCCCGCGGGAGTCGACAGCCGGGGCCCGAGAATCCGATCGTATGTTAGATGAGCTCCAATGGAGCTCTAACATCGTATGTTAAATTATGTTAGAGCTCCCTGGGAGCTCTAACATCGTATGTTAGAGCTCCGTGGGAGCTCTGAGGCGGCGGCGGCGGCGGCTGGGTTAGAGCTACCAGGGAGCTCTAACATAGCACGTTAGAGCTCCAACGGAGCTCTAACATGCTATATTAGAGCTTCCATGTTAGAGCTCCCTGGGAGCTCTAGAATACCGAGCTCCAGCGGAGCTTTAACATAGCATGTTAGAGCTCAGCGGGAGCTCCCTGGGAGCTCTAACATGGTATGTTAGAGCTCCGTGGGAGCTCTAACATGGCTTGTTAGAGCTCCAACGGAGCTCTCACATAGCATGTTCGAGCATGTTAGAGCTCTCTGGGGACTCTGACATGGTATGGTAGAGCTCCAACGGAGCTCTAACATAGCATGTTCCAGTATGTTAGCTCCCTGGGAGCTCTAACCTGGTATGTTAGATCTTCGTGGGAGCTCTAACATGGCTTGGTAGAGCTCCAACGGAGCTCTAACATGGCATGCTCGAGTATGTTAGAGCTCCCTGGGAGCTCTAACATGCTATGTTGGAGCTCCGCGGGAGCTCTAACATGGTATGTTAGAGCTCCAACGGAGCTCTAACATAGCATGTTCCAGTATGTTAGAGCTTCCTGGGAGCTCTAACATGTATGTTAGAGCTTCCGTTGGAGCCTAACATGGTATGTTAGAGCTCCAAACGGAGCTCTAACATGGCATGCTCGAGTATGTTAGAGCTCCCTGGGAGCTCTAACATGCTATGTTGGAGCTCCGTGGGAGCTCTAACATGGTATGTTAGAGCTCCAACGGAGCTCTAACATAGCATGCTCGCGTATGTTAGAGCCCCCAGGGAGCTCCAACATGCTATATTAGAGCTCCCATGTTAGAGCTCCATGGGAGCTCTGAGAAACCGAGCTCCAACGGAGCTTTAACATAGCATGTTAGAGCTCAGTGGGAGCTCCCTGGGAGCTCTAACATGGTATGTTAGGAGCTCCGTGGGAGCTCTACCATGGCCTGTTAGAGCTCCAACGGAGCTCTAACATGGCATGTTCGAGTATGTTAGGGCTCCCTGGGAGCTCGAGCATGGTATGTTAGAGCTCCGTGGGAGCTCTAACATGGCATGTTAGAGCTCCCAGGGAGTTCTGACATGGCATGTTAGCCTCGAGCTCTAACATAGGATGTTGTTAGAGATCCCTTGGAGCTCTACCATGGCATGTTAGAGCTCCTATGGAACTCTAACATGATATGTAAGAGCTCATTGGGAGCTCTAACGTGTTATGTTAGATTTCGATGTGAGGGGTTGTGAACTCTAACATGTTATGTTAGAACTCGATGGGAGCTCTATCATAGCACGTTAGAGCTCCCATCGAACCGCCCCCCACGCCGTCGTCGTCGTCGTCGTCGTCGTCGCCGTCGTCCCATCGGCCCCCCACCCCCCTCCTTTTAAGCGCACATAGGAGGTCAGCAAAAAAAGGCCGAACACGGCCGCACTCTCGCACGCACCGCTGCCCTGTCCTCGACCTCGAGAACGAAGGCTTCCCCCTTGAAGGGCGGGGGCACAGGGGTGGTGGGGCCCTGTCTTCGACCGCTGTGAAAAATGTGGGCTGGGCCCTGTCTTCGACCACGGTGAACCATGAATAGGGCGCGGCCCTCCCCGCCCTCGCGGCGCGGCCTTGCTCCCTGGGGCGCGGTCGGGAATCAGGGGCGGAAGGGGGTTCAGGGACTTCTGAATTAGAACTAGAAGGTGGGGGGGGGGAGGAGGAGGAGGAGGAGGAGGAGGAAGGCTTCGCCGCCCTCCGCGCACCGCCGACTTTCATATGTTAGATCTCACAGGGAACTCTAACATAATCTAACAACATGCTATGACAGAGCTCCGTTGGAGCTCTAACATGTCATGTTACAGCTCCCTGGAGCTCTAACATCATCTAACCAACCTAAGGGCCCCAAGAGGAGATCCCATAAATTCTACTATCCCCCCGCAGGGCCCCAAGAGAGATTGCCAGAAACTCCTCGCCCCTCAGGGCGGCAAGAGGAGATCCCAATCTTCAACGCACTCATTGTTTCAGTCCTACTGGATGCAGAACCCCATAAATCTGTGAAACTTTCGAATTCGCTGGCCCGCTGCACGGGCGCGCCGCGTGAGCGCGGCGAAGGAGCCGGCGCGCGAGCCAGGCTGCGCGCCTCCGACATCGGCTACCAGACGCCCATGCGAGGTCACTTGTCCCGCTGCTGAGCTCACTGGCCCTCCTTCTTGTCCCGCTGCTTGGGCTCCTCCACTTTCTGATCGAGCTCCTCGGCTTTCTTCTGCAGGTCCTGGAGCGCCTGTCCCTGCGCCCGCAGGAGGTCCAGAATATGATCAATCGTCTCGGCCATGTTGGTCTGTGCCGTAAGGTTTGGTAAAGCGTTGGTCAAGAAATTGAGCATCGAGGTGATAACGGTGGTTGTTAGCCCGTCCTGCTGCTGCTGCTGCGTAAGCTTCTGCTGCCACTGCTGTGCTCCTGCTGTTGCATATCCTGCTGTTGCAGCCCCTGATGATGACGCAGCTAGTGAGCTGCTCCAGCTTTTTCCAGGCGTTCTCTCCTGCAGCTGTTCCAGCTTCTTGCTGATGGCCTTCGCGCTGCCATTGCCTGCCACTTGGGCTTCGTCGACGACCTCCAATCATCCGCTTCATCGTTTTTCCGCTTCGGGGCGTAGCTCGAGTGGAGCACCACAGTGTTCCTGATCTTAGAGCACCATGCGGCCTTCTCATCATCAGGACCCTGTGGACAAACATTATGCCACAAGAGATGATTATTCTTTACATGCTTGATGTGGTCCGCCGAAATCTGGTGCGTCGGGGCTGCCCATTTCTCGCACGGTAAACAAAACCACTTCTCCCTATTCTGCTTGCCGTACTCACGAAATTCTAACCATGGCGCATCAATGGGTCCAATGTCAGGGTCCATGATGACGGTTTCTGGACATGGGCCAGGCCTCCCTGCGCTGGCCCCCATTTCTGACATGACGCCTGCAGGCGCTGCAAGAAGACATGCCTTGAGCCGAGGTGCCTGCGCTACAGGGAAGCTGGGTGATCTGATAAATGGAACCAAGAGTGGTCCAGGAGGCTATTTTGGGGGTTCCCGAGGGGCAGGGCGATTTGAGGGATTCCCCTTCGTTGATCGATTTCCCTCACATGGTAGAGCTCCCAGGGAGCTCTAGCATGGCATGTTAGAGCTCCCAGGGAGCTCTAACATGGCATCTTAGAATAGCTTCAGGGAGCTCGAACAAGCTATGTTAGATCTCCCCGGGAGCTCTAACATAGGATGTTAGAGCTCCCGTGGAGCTCTAACGTGCTACGTTAGAACTCCCGTGGAACTCTACCATGGCATGTTAGATCCCCATGGAGCTCTAACATGCTATGTTAGAGCTCCCACGGGGCTGTAACATACGATTTTAGAGCCCCAGGGAGCTCTAACAGACTCTAGCATGCTATGTTAGAGCTCCCACGGAGCTCTAACATGCGATGTTAGAGCTCCCAGGGAGCTCTAACATAATATAACATGCTATGTTAGAGCTCCCAGGGCGCTCTAACATACTGGAACATGCTAGGTTAGAGCTCCGTTGGAGCTCTGACATACGATGTTAGAGCTCCCACGGAGCTCTAACATAGCATGTTAGAGCTCCCAGGGAGCTCTAA